AGAATTTAGTGCCGACCGGCACTATCTGGAGTGCCGATGATCTGATAAAGTGCCGACCGGGAATTTTGGAGTGCCGGTGGCAATTCTGTCTGGCCGTGGTGCTCTGCAGGATGCAGAGAGCTTGTTTCCAGCACTTTGGAATTTTCAGAAGACAAGTGAGTACAAACAGAGGCGACAAGAGTATAGTACGGTTTTTCCGGGCAGGACGGATTCGAGCATGCATCATCTGCGCGCCCGAGGCAGAGGCTGTGGCCACCCTCTTCATTCTTTTGCTTCCTTTTTTTTAATTAATTAGGAAATTTGTAATAATTTTATTTGTTCATTATTTTGGGGCTTGTAATATTAATTCGAACCCTCTGCCAGATGGGTAAACCCATCCGTCATAAGTGTGTGTGGGTGGTGTGTATGTCTTCCAATCTCACTTCTTTCTTCCCTTTTACTTACCCGCTTTAATGGTTAGTATTAGGGCACGTTTAATTTAGCATACCTTATGCTATGCATACGTGCATTCATGCATTTGCTTTGCATGCACCGGGCTCGGCGCATCATTCTAACTGCATCTTATTTTCAATTCCAAGTTGAATACCTACCATTAATAGCATTTCATAGGCCATGTTTAGAATAGCCGAGCCTGCTATAGTTGCACTTTTGCATGTGTTGCATTAGGTATTTCTGTATAATTAGGATCATGCATGGATTTCTAATAAGCTTCTGTTTTGGCTTGGAGTACTCGGTAAGTTTTATGCTTTAGCATCCTTCCATCCGTGTGAGTGACTGCCATGAATAGCATGCTTACCATGAGGCTATATGCTTATGTGATATAACTGCCTGAATGCTTGTGGGTGAAGGTTGGGTTATTTGGATTGGAACAATTCGTTGACTATGAGTTTTTTTTTTTTTTAAGCCCACTAGATAGTGGCAAAATCATCTTTTCTAAAAGCCCACTTGAGGGTGGCAAAATCTGCATTTTAGCCTACTTGCGAGTAGCAAACCATTTTCAAAACAAACATGAAATGTTTTGTTCCAATTTGGGCGATTTGGTCTATACTTGTTTGCTGTGCGCATAACATAGTAATTCTAGGCTAATAATTGGTTTAAGAACACGTAAAGTTTTCAAAAACGGATATCACGGTTAGTAGAGGCCGATCTTAGGATCGGGCGAGAGGGGGTGCTCATAGCTGACCTTCCCCGATCGTACCCTAGCTCCCGAGCCGAGACAACTTCGGTGATGACGGACATGTGGCCTTCGGCACTGAGTCAGGGTTTCCTAAATTCCCCCATTTTAAAATATTTAGGTGGCGACTCTGTATCTGGCAAAGCAGTCCATGTTTGGCACTACTTTTTCAAAAATCTGTTTCTCAAAACGATTTGCCAGATTTGGACTCTTTGGTTCAGATTAAGAACCGTGACACAAATCGAGAGTCCGAACTGTAGCACGAGGCCTCCCTCCGCGGGCGCTGTTACAGGTTGGTGTTCTGCACTGTTACATTAAAATCCTTTTTCTCTCCTACCATTTCAAGCAACAACATCCCAAAGCTATAGATATCTGATTTGTATGGCACGTTCCCAAAGTTCCTGGAGAATGCTTCAGGTGCGATATAGCCAATGGTTCCCCTAGTAGTAGTCATGAATACAATACTTTGTTCCTTTGAGCACAACTTTGCTTGACCAAAATCTGAGATCTTCGGATTTAAGTTGTGGTCCAACAAGATATTATGGGGTTTCATATCGAAGTGAAGGATTCTTTGATCACACCCTTGGTGAAGATATTCAATTCCTTTGGCTATGCCTATAGCAATGTCTTGCAACTTCTTCCAACCAAGTAAACCTTTCTCGTGATCAGATAACATGAACTTTTGCAGTGAATCATTTGGTAAGAATTCATAAACAAGAGCTCTTCTAAACCCATCAGCACAATATCCAACCAAGCGAACCACATTGATGTGGTGGATTTTACCTATTATTCCCACTTCGTTGATGAAATCTTCCCATTTTCCCTTTGAACTATTGAGGATTTTCACCGCAACATAAGCATCATTGGAAAGCTGTCCCTTGGACACTGTTCCATAGCCTCCGTGGCCTACTTTGTCTATGAATTGATTAGTAATTTTTTTGATGTCTGCATAAGAATATCTTGATGGCTTGAGAGCCCTGTAATCCTCCAAAAAGCATTCAATCTTTAATTGGTCCTCTCTCTTTATTTTTCTTTGCTCTGTGGACACAATACAATGCAATGACAACTACAAGAAGAAGAAAAGAGCCTACAACCGCACCTGCAATTTATAACAACCAAATTAGGAAGGAAAATTCCATTTTCACTACAAATATGAAAAGGCAAGTGGAGAATTGCACCTGCAATCACTAGTCGCCTTTTCAATTCACCTGTAAAATATAGAGAAGACTTGTTAGATTCTCAAGCATTTGGAATTCCCACAATATATCATATTATCTTTTCACTTGATATTTCAAGATCTCTCAACAATTTTTTTGGTCAACCCAACTGTAGAGGGCCATAATTTTTATTTTATTTCATTTTGATCAGAAAAAATACAAGCTTCAAAATTTAATAATAGAGAGATACAAAACTACCATAACGCTCTGTTCGTTTGGACGGATATATTTTCTATAAAAAATATTTTATGGAGAAAACATTTTTCTATATTTGGTGGTGTTGGTGGTGATAGAGGTAGTGGCGTGGTGATGGTGGCCGTGGCGATGGTGTGGTGGTAGGTGAGAATGGTGGTGGTAGTGTGGTGACGTTGGTAAGAGTTTAGTTCGGAAAATGTTTTTCGTCTTTCAAAAGTAAAAAATATTTTCTATCCAAATAAACTTACTTTTCACTAACCATGAAAAATATTTTCTGTTTAGTTTTCGTTTTCTATTATATCAAATGTCAAAAAATACAAAAAATATTTTCAAAAAAATTATTTTCTACCCAAAGAATCCCAGTCTGAATCTTACGATCCTACGATTTTATGAATCGATTTGGATTGTGTAAAAAATCCTTTACAGGTAGGATCTTTTGATCATGGTAATTGAATCTTACAGGATTATGGAATCTTGATCCGAATCTGATCCTATCCGATCCAATTTGTAACCTTGTTTTGTATTGTATGGCCTATTTTATTGTAAATTTTATATTTTGTCTAAATACCAATTTATGTGGTCAAAATGAATTCAAAAAATTAAGTAGTATTGAATCAAATAGACTAAGAAAAATAATGTAGGAAATAAACATTTAAATATTGTAATAATTTAAGAAAACTAATTTGTGGGAAAAATAAATTTAGCTTTAGTGAGGTATGAGGAGGGCAAGATGAATGCAACTTTATCCCAATTTCAGGAGAGACTATTTTCGTGACTCGAACTTGCTCCACTAGGGATACTAACGACAAATCTTATCATTCAGTTAAGCCACTCTTTTAAGTTTTTAATTTATTTTCATATCTAATTTGGTTAAATACTTTTTCTTAATTTTTTTTTTGAACAATAATACTTTTCTTAATCTGTTATGCATTATTGTAGATTGCAAAGTATTTTGTTATAGAATTCTTCTTCTTCACCTTCTTTTTTGAAGAAATGCAAAGCTTTTACCATCGAGTTTTCTATTATATAATATTATATTTACATTTATATGGAGTATTATATTTTTCACAATATCTTCACTTTTTTAAAGTAGAATATATGTTTATTTTCTATATACTTTTTAAAGAAATATTTATTTATTACGTAATTTGTTTTTTTTTTCGATAGGATCTTATGGTCCTCGATCTGATTTTATGATCCGATCCTGTAAACATTTTCAATAATCTAATTTAAGATTCCGATTTTAACAACCTTCGGCGTAAGTAACACTGCCAACAAATATAAAACCAACCTAAGCAACCTTTTAACTCATTGCTTACATTAAAAACATTAGCTTCGTTTCTCCTAGAAGTTCTTCACCTCAAAAACCAAATCAAACCACCAAAACAAACAAAAAATTCTAAAATATAGATCCAAACTTACAGAAATGAATGCAAAAGAAGAAACTGGAAGGCCAATTGAATACAAAACTAAACTAGGGAAACCAAAGAAAAAGGTACCTACCTTCCTTTGGTGGTTTGAGGAAGCTAAAGCATTCAAAAATTTCATGTCCCGTGCTGTTACTGATCTTCAATCACTGCAGGAAGTAGGGGTTTTAGAGGCTTTTAAAAAACGCTGCTGTAGGTCCTAAAAATGCCGTCAAATCCTTTCGTGGCATTTGGCACCAAACGTCAAAGATGTGGCTGTCGCTATAACTTTATGGCGCTTTGAAAACGTCGCTATATTACTATAGGCGGCGTTTATAAACGCCGCTAAAAGTTCTCCTAACAATAACATGACATCACTAAGCTATTTAGCGACGTTCTTGAAAACGCCATCGTATCTCTTTTTTAAAAAACCAACTGTTGGTTCGATATTTAGCGACGTTTTTAGAAACGCCGCAATGGTCCTCTTTTTTTTTTTTTTTTTTAATTGTGCTACTTTTATGTGCTTGAACTAAAAAAATACCTGTAATAAAACTAAAAAAAAATACTAATAAGAAATAATAACTCCCATTCAAATAGCAAATACAACATTAATTAACTTTCCTATTCAATTTAATATCCAATCCCTATTACCCACAAAATAACATATCAAAAAATTAAATTCACAATTCTCAATGGAAAAAGGCAAAATATAAATTTTTTACATTGCCCATATGTGTACATTAATCATAAGATGGCCATCAAGTATGCTTATGATAATCATTAACACCTGCAAAGATTTGATGAACAAAAAAAAAGTCTAAAAATTGCTTATGAAATCAAGAAAGCCCCAAAACACAGAATAAAAAGGGCCAAAGTCATCACCATAGCCGATAATGCAAACCAATTATTTCAACCGTAAAAAAGAAACATCCAATACTCAAATATAAACCATTCATTATTACCAAAACAAAAAACCAGATTTGTCTTGTATAAGAAAATGTGGAAGAAGAAAAATTAGCATCAAGTTGGTCTGCTTGAATCAAAGGGAAAAATAACACAAATCAAAGACTCATTTGAAATGAGCTACTTTTTCTGCAGCTGGTAAGAACTCCACTTGATGAGTAACAAACTGTTTTCAAATCCAAAAGCCCCAATAACATTCCTGTGATACAATGATTAGAAGAAGGCTTCAGTAAACAATTATCTAAATTTCAAATGAGGAAAAGAAAAGCAAAAGAACAAACAATTGAGAATGAAACAGAGCAAAAGAAATTTATATGGAAAATAAACACAATGATACAACAAAGCATCACACTTCAATACACCCAATAACTATATAACTGAAAAAAATATATTTATAGCAGAAATCAACCTCACAGGCCACAACCTCACTCTATCAATAATCATGTGCCTCCATCTGTCTAAGAACCTCAATGGAAAAACAAATTAATTAACATAATGTACTCTAAAAAAGTGGTAGTATGTAAAAAAGCAAGTAAAAAGAACCAATGTTTCATTTTCCCCTCATTTTAACACTCACATTCATAAAATTCACATTCCCTTAACTGTCTTATCCTACTTACCCTACAAACGTTTCATTTGATCCAAAATTATCAATTGCACAAACAAGAATCAGCCAGATTAATGGGAGTTACAAACTAGACTACCTCAGATTAACCTTTTAAAATGTGTGTCAATGTGCAGGGAAATTCCCAAAAAAACAGAATGCCATAATCTTGTGGCATTTTTTTTTGTTCATTCAACATTATGATAATATGAAATTGCTAGCTCCAACATAAGCATTACTTGTGTTCTATCACACAATGTATGACGGTTTATTTGTTAAGACAAGCTTATGAGGAAAAAAATTTCAAGGAAATTTTCAGATGTCAGAGAAATTAATCAACTGTTTTACAGTCAAATAGCAAAATAATGTTTATACCGGGGCACAATTGGTAATGGATTTGACACCTCCAGCTCCACCACCAGTGGCACAATGGAATTCATCCTCAATATAAAAGTTCAAGGGTGACAAACCTTCCTGCATATACAAAAACCAAGACCATATAAAACTTTTAACCTTTCTAAATGAAATTCATAATCTAATTTTTTATACCACCTACAATAAAAATAAAACACTATTACAACAAGGATTAAAACTAGCACTATATACAAAGTTCAACTAGAGAGTAACACCGCTAAAAGAGAAAAAAGGCAAAAAAAAAAAAAAGGTTGTTAATAAAGGCAATAGAAGGACTTGCTGTGTGATCAATCTGCTAGAGAGATCTCATATTAATAGATCCATATAATTGAGTTTTAATTGATTGAACAACCAAGGAAATAACCTCACTCATGTCAAAGTCCTTTTCTCTACCTGGACCACTTGGGTACTTCCAGTCAACCAATACAAGAGGTTTGCAAGCACATATTCAACTATTAGGACTCCAAATGAGAAACCAGGGCAGCCTCTTCGGCCGCCATATACAAGAGGAATTGGCTATGAACTGATATATATATCGAGAATTGATCAATAAACATGATTGTTTTTCATTCCCAGCAATATATTGGGATGTATCAGTATCAAAATGGCTAGAACCATATACATATTGATTTATATGGTATATATCAGTATTTAAAATGATTCCTGTTACGACATTTTTTTGGCCTTTTCTAATACTGATAGAAATAGGCATATTAGTAGGAATGAAAATATCGTACTTATAACCCAATTTGTTATATGTATTATTTCATAACCAACTTAGGAAGATTAATCGTAGCACCGATTTAGGAAGATTAACCGTTGCTACTGCTAGTTCAGTGACTATCAAACTCTTTTTGCTACTAATAGATGATTTAAAAAATTTCACTACCGTGTCACCCAATTCACGACTGGTATACACACACACATAGAGGGACACCGAGAGAGAGAGAGAGAGAGAGAGAGAGAGAGAGAGAGACCAGTAAAATTCCTTTAAGATTGTCTTGGGAGATATCAATCTCTAGCTTGCCTTCCTCCTGAAAATGAAGCAGAATTTCAATCAGACACTTATTACCAAGCTGATCATCATTTCCTTTTGAAGTTCGATATATTTCAGTCACATCATCAAGGAAAGCATCTAATCCTTGTGAAGTGTCTTTGAGTCTTTTAACCAAACCAGTTAGTGCATCAATCCATCCAAAAGATGGGAAGAAATCTTGGAAGGAAATCTCAATCAAGAGCTCCATTCCATTTCTCGCCAACTGTCTGAATCTCTTCTTATTATCCTCTCCTTCATACTTCTTCCCAAGAATACATCTGGATATTATGCTAGTCATGGTATCAACCAACATATCTCCAAGGTTGACAGCATTAGCTCCTCCATCAAGGCTCGTGTTGTTGCGTATCTTCTCAATAATCGTCGCAACTTCTTCTTCTCTAACAAAATGGAATGATTGCACCCTGTTGATGCTCAAAAGCTCCAAAACACAGATTCTCCTCATTTGTCTCCAATACTCACCGTACGGAGCAAACCCTAGACTAGTGCATCCATATATTAATGCATCAACAGCCCTTGTTTGGACTCTGTTTGCAAAAGCAATGTCATGAGTCTTCATGATTTCTTTTGCTATCTTTGCAGAGTTGACAACCAGAGTTGGAGCACCACCCAAGTATAGCAGTAACATAGGGCCATATTTTTCGGAGAGAGCATGGAGAGACTGGTGAGGGAGGTTCCCTAGTAAGTGAAGGTGTCCGATAATCGGTAGCCTAGGTGGTGAAGGAGGGAATTTGAATTTGCTAACACTTTTCTTGAATTTAAGCAGAAACAGGAGGAGGGAGCAGAGGAGGAGAGGGAAGACAAAGGGTTTGATTAGTGTTGTTTTGTAGAGCTCTTGCCACCATTGTTGCAACAGTGGTGTTAGACCCATTACCTTTTTGATTGAATAAATAAACAAATGGCACATTTTAATATATTTTTTTTATTTGTACTAATTTCTTATTGCCACCCTCATTAAACCTATGAATGTTTAGTTTATGTTATGCTACTCAATGATTATGAATGTAATGATAATTTCAGCATTAAATTAGAGACCACTTAGACAAAATAGTGTGTGAAAACACACAATAAACTTATCGAGAAGGAAATTACATCTGGAATAAATACGAAAAATAATGTATGACAGATAAATATATCACCAGCTGCGAAAACCAGACCTTAGGCCGTAAAACCGGTGGAATCCCCTTCCTGATGAGCTTCTTGAGGGTAATTGCATTACCAAAAGCTGAAAATTTAAGGGAATATTTAAGGGTTGATGAAATTTTAGTCAGCAAATATCAATTGGCCCATTCACTCCCAATATATATATATATATTATTGTGAGTGAAGAAGAATGAAAAGAGATATACCTTGAAGCAGAGAGAGACTTGGTTGCAGTAGTAAAACCCAAACAAAGAGATCAATATTCTATGAAAGAATCTAAGAATCTAAATCCATGCAAACATAAAACTGCATTACATAATTTCCTTATATTCTCCAACAAAAAGGTCGCCTAGAAAGGATTAAATCAACCGCTAAAGATTAAAGTTTTGATGAGTAAACTAACAAGAAAATTATGGCGAGCAAGCCAAGTATCATTATATAAACTATTGCATGTACCATACCAAAATTGAAACTATATAATATTTAGACTTCTAAAAATAGTCATTTTCAGCGAATATAACTTTCTAAGCTCCTTGAATGACTCAAATAATTGTTACCAAGATGGGGAATTTACATAACCAGTAACCAAACAAGCAGTCCTTTAACACGTGAAATTAATGAACTACCATTATATAAACTATTGATGCACATAATTGTTAAGGACAACTTAAACATTCCTAAAAAAGTTGTATTTGAGAAGTACCTATCCCCCAAAGCATGATTTCTAAAACTACAAAAAAAACATGAATAACACAATGACAACCTAATTTGGGAAAGAAAAATGCACAAAAAATAAAAAAATCAGTATATCTGAAAATCTGACAAGTGAAGTTCATATGAGTTCAATTAGTTCCAGCTCTGTTCCACCTGCTCAAATCTTCATCCTTGAGCCTCGGAAATCCCAAAACATAGCAATAGTACTTAGATCTCTTGCAGTATCTCGGAAAGAAATCCTTGATGCCCTCCTTGAGGGCCGAGGCCTTAATTCTGATATACTCGAAAAACTTGCAAAAATC